TATAAGAACAGGATCAGACCAGGGGTCCATCTAGTCCAGCATCCTGTCTCACACAGTGGCCAACCAGTTCCTCTGGAGGGCCAACAACAGGGCAGAGAGGCTGAGGCCTTTATAAGGACATAAGAAGAGCCCTGCTGGATTGGACCAGTGGTCCATCTAGTCCAGCCTCCTGTCCCACACAGTGCCCAATCTGAGGGCCAACAGCAGGACAGAGAGGCCGAGGCTGGGTCGGACCAGTGGTCCATCTAGTCCAGCCTCCTGTCCCACACAGTGGCCAACCAGTTCCTCTGGAGGGCCAACAACAGGGCAGAGAGGCTGAGGCCTTCATAAGAATATAAGAGCCCTGCTGGATCAGACCAGGGGTCCATCTAGTCCAGCATCCTGTCTCACACAGTGCCCAATCAGTTCCTCTGGAGGGCCAACAGTAGGGCAGAGAGGCCAAGGCCTTCATAAGAACATCAGAAGAGCCCTGCTGGATCAGACCAGTGGGGGTCCATCTAGTCCAGCATCTTGTCTCACACAGGGGGCAGCCAGTTCCTCTGGAGGGCCAACAGCAGGGCAGAGAGGCCGAGCCCTTCATAAGAACATAAGAGCCCTGATGGATTGGACCAGTGGTCCATCTAGTCCAGCATCCCGTCTCACACAGTGGCCAAACAGTTCCTCTGGAGGGCCCACAACAGGGCAGAGAGGCCGAGGCCTTCATAAGAACCTCAGAAGAGCCCTGCTGGATCAGACCAGTGGTCCATCTAGTCCAGCCTCCTGTCCCACACAGTGCCCAATCTGAGGGCCAACAGCAGGACAGAGAGGCCGAGGCTGGGTCGGACCAGTGGTCCATCTAGTCCAGCCTCCTGTCCCACACAGTGGCCAACCAGTTCCTCTGGAGGGCCAACAGCAGGGCAGAGAGGCCGAGCCCTTCATAAGAACATAAGAGCCCTGATGGATTGGACCAGTGGTCCATCTAGTCCAGCATCCCGTCTCACACAGTGGCCAACCATTTCCTCTGGAGGGCCCACAACAGGGCAGAGAGGGTGAGGCCTTCATAAGAACATCAGAAGAGCCCTGCTGGATCAGACCAGTGAGGGTCCATCTAGTCTACCATCTTGTCTCACACAGGGGGCAGCCAGTTCCTCTGGAGGGCCAACAGCAGGGCACAGAGGCCGAGGCCTTCGTAAGAATGTCAGAAGAGCCCTACTGGGTCAGACCAGGGGTCCATCTAGTCCAGCATCCTGTCTCACACAGTGGCCAGCCAGTTCTGAAGAAGTGTGTGTGCAGACGAAAGCTTATACCAGGAATAAAACTTTGTTGATCTTAAAGGTGCCACTGGACTCAAACTTTGTTTTGCTGCTTCAGACCCACACGGGGACCCACTTGGCATGTAGCCGTATTACAATGTTCACTATATAGCTTAACAGTGTTCCTATTGCATTGCTAAATTTTGTAATCCCCCTCTGAGTTTCAGCACAAAGGGCAGGCTGCAACTACAGTAAATAAATTAACAGCCATAACGCCCAACAGAGCAAGTGATAAGAACACCAAAGGTGTGGGAAACAGATCAAATACTCAGACAACTTAAACGTGGGATAAAAGTAAAAACTACTGGGTTCGCCGCATGGAGGACTTGGACAACGACATGCTCTAGCACACGTTTATTGTATTTAACACAGACAAAGACTACTCTTAACGGCCGACAGGGCCAACTATATACATATCCACCCAGCACCCCCTATTCCCATTGGAGGGTTTAAATGTCCCGCCAAAGTGGCTGTTGGTTGGGGCTGGGGGAACCAGGATCCGATGTTTCCATTGTTCCAGGAGTCAAGCTCCTGCCTGTGCCGCGGACCCCTGGTGGCGGTCTGCATATATAACAAAAAGCCTCTCTTTTTTTGCCTGGGCAAAGAGAAGAGTTGTAGCTTGGCACCTAAATGCCAACAGGGTGGGAACTGGGCAGGCCTCAGGGGAGGGGCATTCCAAATCCTTTTTGGATTCACTGTATGCAGGTGGACTTAAAGCTGCCTTTTGTTCCTGCTGCTTGTAGACTCAGGGTTTGGGAACGGCGCTCAAGATCCTGTTTTCTGAAAGCCAAATTGAAAACATGCCGGAGAGAGGCCCGTCTCCAAAGTTTCATCTAACAAGGCAGGAAATCGTAGCCCTCTTCAATGCGTTTGGGAGGTGAGTTGTCGCTTTTTCTCTAGTCTGACGTATTTTTTAGGTAATATTTCCCATCCCACCCCCCAATACTTAGACTCGATTCAGGCACTCCTCCACATACAGCTGCTGGTGTGACTTTGGGTCAGTTACAAGTTCTTTCAGAGCTGTTCTCTCAGGAGCAGTCCTCGAGAGAACTCACTCCACCCCAACTCCCTCACGGGGTGCCTGTTGTGGGGAGGGGAAGGGAAAGGAGATTGTAAGACGCTCTGAAACTCTGAGTGAAGGGCGCGGTATAAATCCAATCTCTTCTTCTAAATGCCGCCACCGGTAGCTTAGCAGAACAGCCCAGGAGGGTGGTGATCACAGCTGACTTAAGGCGACGCTGTAAGGTTTTTAAGGCGAGAGCCGTTCAGCGGTGGTCTGCCTCGCCTCTCACCAAATCCTCTTTCCGGTTCTTTCCCCCCCCCTTTCCAATGCAGGATCTCAACCAGCGTTAAGGAGCTAGAAAACTTCCGGGGCCTCTTACAAACTCTGCAGTGAGGACGATGCTCGGAGCCCTTTGCGCCGCTGCAACCAACGGGGACACTCCGCCCGCTCTGCTAGATTCCCACGGGACCGCAACACCTACCTAGGGTCGCCAACCTCCAGGTGGGGGCCCGGAGATCCCCCCCCCCCGGAATTATGATGGACCCCCAGACTACAGAAGCCAGATCCCTTCAGGAGTTCGGCTGCTTTGCACGGTGGACCTCTGTGCCGCCAGCGGGAATAAGATCCCTCTCCAAACCTCCTGGCGTTTCCTACACCCAGCATTAGCCAAGTGCACCGGTGAGGGGTATGTGCGTCCCATACTGCTTAAGGCTTTTGTTGAACTGCAGAAAGGGCCTTGCTGGACCCAGACAAGCAACACAAGCAACCCGGAGAGGTGGGCACCCCGTGGCAGACCACCCTCTGTTCTAGGAGGTGCTGGAGCATCCCAAAGGGCCTTCGGATTGCTCCTTTCGTGGAAGACCAATGGCTTTTCTTTCCTTTATCCGTCATCGGGAAATACAACTCAGGTGTACCTTTAAGGTCAAAGGGACTGTGAACCGCTCCAAAACACGGACCGGGCTTGGATCCAGAGGCGGCCGCTGCAGAAGGGACGTTGGTTCGTTCCCCAGGATTTGGTACCTTTTCCCTGTTGCTGCTAAGGCGACGAGCAATGGCGTAGGGGCAGTTCTCCAGAGTCCAGCCCGGCCACCCAAGGGTGGCACAAGGAAGACGACGTACTGTAGGAACTCGGCTCACGCCTGCGGCCCAAGAGGCCGCTGGCGCCCCGTTCTGGGCTCGCCGTGGGGCTGCTTCGACTTGAATCTGGCTGGGGGGGACAGCCTGCCTTTCTTGGGCAGACCCCAAGACCCTCCCTCCTTCAGGGCAGTTTTGGCCACTTCCTTCTGCCGTTCCCTTCCGGCTCCGAATCGGCCTTGACCACAGTTCCAGAGGAGTCGGCCGTGTTAAGTCTGTTGCTGCAAAAATAGTGAAAAGCCCAGCAGCACCTTTAAGTTGAACAAACTTTATTGCGGCGTAAGCTTTCGAGAAACACAGCTCTCTTCGTCGAAGAGAGCTGTGTTTCCCGAAAGCTTATGCCACAATAAAGTTTGTTCGTCTTAAAGGGGCTGCTGGGCTTTTTACAATTTGACCACCGTTGTGATTTCTGTCTGCACAGCCCTTAACATTAACCAGGAAGCCCTTTTTTGGGTCAAATGTTTTCCCCTACCATTTCTGTCTGTTTTTTCAGCACTATAAGAACATAAGGGAAGCCAATGTTGGATCAGGCCAATGGCCTCCTATCCAGTCCGACACTCTGTCACATAGTGGCCAAAAACACCAGGTGCCATCAGGAGGACCAGCAGTGGGGCCAGGACACCAGAAGCCCTCGCACTGTTGCCTCCCCCAAGCACCAAGATGACAGCATCCCTTGCCCCAGCCTGAGAGTTCCCATCTATACCTTGTGGCTAAGAGCCACTGAGGGACCTCTGCTCCATATGCCTATCTAATTCCCTCTTGAAGCCGTCCATGCTTGTGGCCACCACCACCTCCTGTGGCAGTGAATTCCATGTGCTCATCACTCTTTGGGTGAAGAAGGACTTCCTTTTATCCGTTCTAACCCGACTGCTCAGCAATTTCATGGAGTGCTCACGAGTTCTTGTGAGAAAGGGAGAAAAGGACGTTTTTCTCGACCTGCTCTATCCCATGCATAAACTTTGCAATGATTTAGGCTGCGCTCCCGCCGTGTCTCGGCTCGGGAAGCTGGCAGAGGTGTTGCGCACAGCTCTGAGGATGGAACTCGTTAAGTGACAAAAATTCATGCGCGTGCCTGCAACCATCCGATTTCTGTAAGGTAACCAGAAAAGGGGAGAGAGTGCTGTCCAGACACTGGTTTTAATTTAAACTTGATCTTTCTGAAAAACACACCATTTGGAATGTTTTCTTTCTCCCCGAACAGCCCCCCCCCCCCAAGTAAAGCCCTTACAGCCCAGTGAAAGATTCTGGTTTCTCTCCCCCCGCCCAAAAAAAACACCAGGGGGGTGGATTCTTTTCTAGCACCAAGCCATTGCATTTCACACCAACAGGGCAAGAGATGCTTCTCTTCGTTTCATTCCCCACCCTGAATCTTGCCAGAGGAACATTGAGTGGAAGATCAGTTTTCCATCCCAACTGTTAGCCAAAAACATTTTGTATAGCACAGGGACAGGGAGAGAAACTGGCAGTTTACTGGGAAAATACACATAGGGGGGCCCAGGTTCCATCCCCCAAAAGCCTCAGTTGCAAGAAACCCGGAGTCCAGTGAACAGGAGGAGACCGTGGGCTTTTGGGGAAACAGAGTTTGTTCAACACACTGAACAGTCTGGGAGCCAGGTTGGTTAAGAATGGTGGACTTTGATCTGGACAACCGGGTTCAGCTCCCCACTTGAAGAAGAAGAGATTGTATTTATACCCCACCCTTCACTACCCAGAGGAGTCTCAGAGCGGCTTACAAACTCCTTCCCCTCCCCACAACAGACGCCCTGTGAGGTAGGTGGGGCTGAGAGAGCTCTGACAGAACCTGCTCTTTTTCAAGAACAGCTCTTATCAGAACTACGGCTTGCCCAAGGTCATCCAGCAGGTGCAAGTGGAGGAGTGGGGAATCAAACCCGGTTCTCCCAGATTAGAGTCCGTGCACTCAACCACAACACCAAACTGGCTCACATGCGTTCACATGAGCAAGAGATCAGAGGTTGGGGGCCAGTTACTTTTGCCGGGAATCCAGGCGCGATCGAGGCAAAGGTGGGGCAGTTCACATGAACAGTGGGTGTAGTGCACTAAATCTGAAGAACACTGTAATGAATTTATTTTATTTTATTTAGTTCATTCAATTTGTACCTTGTCCTCCCTGCAAAAGCAGGCATGAAGGAATACATACACAGAATTCTTTTGACTTTGTAGAGCTCGCTGGAACATTGAATAGGTTGTAGTGTCAAGGGAAACAGCAGAGGTCCTCCACTTGGTAGAACGCTTGAGTGGTGGGGTGCAACTGGGAACAGAGAAGTGCCTGTGCATGCCCTTCACCCAGTCCCCGCAACTCTTTCCTGGCTTTACCATACGATCACGGCCTGACGAAGGGTCGAAATGGGAGATTTACCTGGGACATCTGTTGCCGTGGTTAAGGCTACATGGTTAACCTCCTGTATTATGGTTTAGCTTCATATGTTTAAATCCAACTTGTGCGGCATCCTTAAAGAATAGTTAATAAGAGGGTTTTTTCCCTGTAATTTCAAGTAGGATTTTGTGTGTATTCCTTCATTACAGTGGTTTTCAGATTTAGTATAAAAAATGAGCATCGCTCGCCACCTAGTGGTGCCGAAAAAGAGCTACAGCTTCGGCAGCCAACCAATCCCTCTGGGGTCTCCTCGCCATTGGAAAGATACAAATGGAAAGATTATTATTATTCCACACACAATGCCATATGATAATTAATATTGAATACTCTGCATGGCACGGTTCTCAGAGATACAATACCGGCAGGGTTTTGCTGAACTTGAGTTATGAACTAGGTAAAGGTAAAAAGGTTTCCCCTGCTCGAAGGTCAGTCGAATCCGACTCTAGGGTTGCGGTGCTCATCTCCATTTTCAAGCCGAAGAGCCAGCGCTGCCCGAAGACGTTTCCGTGGTCATGTGGCCGGCATAACTAGATGCCGAGGTAAACGGGACGCTGTTTTAAGCATGGCTTAAAAGTACAACTGGCACACTTTGGAATTAACCCAACTGCCTCCTTGAAGTTAGGGCTTTTGTATGCTTCAGTCCTACATGGTAGGGCTCCCAGGTCCCCCAGGAGGGTGGAAGTTCCCCCGCTAAAAGGGTCCCCAATCTGCTGGCCCGGAAAAGGCCGACAGGGGGAACCCCGCCCCCAAAGTGCCCGGTTCGGGCCGATGTGCCCGGCACAATGATGTCAGAGATGACATCATCACGCCGGGCACATCGCCGGCTGACGCTCTAGGAATCAGCCTGAAAACTCTATGGTATCATAGAGTTTCCAGGCTGATTCCTAGAGCGTCAGCCAGCGACGTGCCCAAAGTAATGACGTCACTTCTGAATCTCCTGGAGAGGAACCGAGTGTCCCCCCGCTATTACCTGTAAGTAACTTGGCAACCCTACTACACGGTAACACACATGTCTCACCACAGCCCTAAGGGATGAAGTGGAAAGTGCGGTCAAGTCGCAGCCACCGTATTTTTTCACTATATATTTAAAACGCTTATCAGCTTCCTGTCTGCTTTGGGGAACTCAAGGCAGCGCACAGTATATATCCCACGTTAAAGTAATAATAATAAAAAGCCAACAATTTAAAAACTACAGTTAGCCAGCAGAGTGGAGCAGTTTAGAGCGGCGGACTCTAATCTGGAGAGCCGGGTTCAATTCCCCACCTGACGCCAGCTGGGTGACCTTGGGCCAGTCATGGTTCTCTTGGAGCTCTCTCAGCTCCGCCTGCCTCACAAGGGGAAAGAAGGACAGAGATTCGATTTCTACCCCACCCTTAACGCGGAATCTCAGAGCGGCTTGCAAACTCCTTTCCCTTCCCCTCCCCACAACAGACACCCTGGGAGGTAGGCAATATTCCCTCTAAGCAGTGGAGTCTCGTGAGCAAAAATCCTACTTTGTAAGCTCCTGGCATTAAAGTTGTGAGCCAGCGATTTGGCTGCTGCATAAATTTGTTTGCTCTGGAGCTGTCCCTTCCTGAGCTGAGACAAAGATGTGTGAGCCGGAGGCTAAAAAACCCTGAGCTAGCTCACACCAACTCAGCTTAGAGGGAACACTGGAGGTAGGCAGGGCTGAGAGCGCTCTTTCCAGAACTGTCCTTGAGGGAACAGCTCGGACAGAACCATGGCTTGCCCAAGGCCATCCAGCCAGGTGCAAGTGGAGGAGTGGGAAATCAAACATGGTTCCTCCCAGATTAGAGTCTGTGCACTTAACCACGACACCAAATTGGGAAGGGAAGGTGATCGTAAGCCATTTGGAGACTCTTTAAAGTGAAGGAAAGTAGGCTATAAAAACCTCTAACCCCCCCCCCCCCCCAAGCCAAATCAAAGTACTTGGGGCAGAAGACTAACAAGGAACTCCAGGGCTGCTCCACAGAGACAGGCAACGGCAAACCATCCCTGAACGCCCCTTGCCTTGAAAACCCTAGATCCCCAATCTTTGAGTCTGTGGGCACCTCTGGAATTCCGACAGTGTGGTGGGTGAAGCTACAAAATGGCTGCTGCAGGAGGCGGAGCCAGTGGCAAAATGGCTGCCACCACTTCCCTTCCGTCCCCACGGGGAAGACCCTTGTGGTGTGAAGGCAGCTGCTGCCACAGCAACATTTGGAAAAACCTGTGCAGTCAATCAAATCGCCACCGGCCAATCAGAAGCGCCGCTGGGCAAAAGATCCTGCCTACTTTCTAAAAACACTTGGCACCAGGAAAGGTGTCGTTGGGGACTTTAAAAAGGTAAAGGTTTCCCTTGCTTGAAAGCCAGTCGAATCAGACTCCAGGAGGCGATGCTCATCTCTGTTTCCAAGCCGAAGAGCCAGCGCTGTCCGAAGACATTTCCGTGGTCATGTGGCCGGCGTGACTAAACACCAAGGCGCACAGAACACTGTTACCTTCCCACCGAAGTGGAACCTGTTTCTCTACTTGCAATTTCTTGCTTTCGAACTGCTAGGATGGCAGGAGCTGGGGCCAGAGATGGGAGCTCACTCGGTCACGTGGCACTCGGGTCTCGACCTACCGACCTTACGGTCTGCACCTCAGTGTCTTAACCTCTGAGCTACCGCGGCCTCCCTGTTAGCACTTTACACACACACACAATTCTGTCCAGGCAGTGACCTTACAGAAGAATACAGCGAAGGAATCCATTTCAAAACCGGGTCCCCCACAAACGCCGTCTCGCCAGATAAAAAACAAACCTCTTTTATTTTCAAAGCTCTTTGAAAAGTTATCTCGTTACAATTTTTCAGTGACGAACGAAAACTCGGGTACATTCGTTAAGCTGCAGCTTCCCTCCGCGGCCAGCTGACGACGAGAACACGGGCCGGGGACTAAAGCCATGCCGGTAAAAAGACACTGTACGCCCCCCCCCAAAAAAAGTCTCAGGGCAGTTGATGCACATGAAAGTCAGTCATTCGGATACAGGCTTCCAGTAGAAGACAGGACTGGCCGCCTTCTGTCCGGGTGGAGGGAGTTGGGTCCGCTTTGCGGCCTGTGGCTCATCCGGTTGAGGCAATTCCAGATCCTGTGATCGGAAGCAGCTGGCAAGAACCCTGGGCCCAGGCGGGTCAGGGCAGGAACCGGACCAGGTGCCTGCAGCCCCCCCCCCCCCCGGAAACAAAAACATAAAGTGCTTCGAGTGCATTGTGGAATATTCGTAAGCAAGAAACCAAGCAGCCCAAAAAAAGGAAGGGGGGGGAATAAGCTTGTCTTTGGTGCTTTATGGGCAAACAAAAGAAGGCAAGGGGTTAAAGTTCAGATGCCGGAGTCATCAAGGCAAACCGGGGGTGGGGGGGTTCACATGAGCAAGAGATTAGAGGTTGGGGGCCAGTTACATTTGCCGAGAATCCAGGCCCGAGGCAAAGGTGGGGCAGTTCACATGAGCAAGAGATAAGCGGTCGGGGGCCAGTTGTTTTACTGGGGACCCAGGAGTCATCAAGGCAAGCGGGCAACCTCGCACCCTAGCCCCACCCGGGAAAGGTAATATACTAAAAGGTATACGTGCCCAGATTTGGCAACGACGGTGTGCAGTTCACACAAAGGCCAACAAAACTTGCAAACGTCCAAATGTACAGATGGGGACGTGAGATTGGTGGACGTTCGCACTGAAGAAATCACACACCCTCAACAGATCTGCAACTCGATACAGGCGGCTGGGTCTCCCTGCCAACCCTGCCCGGCAGCCTTGGGGGAGACCGGTTCACCAGTTTGGCCGGGGTGGTGGTGGTGTTGTGGAGGCACGAATGATGCGACCCCTGTGGCCGGGAAAGAAACGGAAGAATCTGCTAGATGCTTACGGGAGAAGCTGCAAAAGGAAACAGCTCCATAAACAAGACAGTGCTTGCCTCCTTGACGACCTCGGCGCATCCAGCTTTTGAGAAAGGAGAAAGAGGAACTGTGGCCAGAACCAACGGGAACCGGAGTGTGCACAGAATGGGACGCTTTACACGTCTACCGAGTGAGAAGTGTACAGATAGCGAATGCGCTATGGCCCCTGGGAACAACAGCCCCCCCCCCCCAAGCTAAAAACCACCACACTACAGGAGCCTCCCACCTATGTGGCCAAGAAGGTGCGTACCTGGGGCTTTTTTTGCCAGGCGTGGCAGGGGGAGGAAGAGACCCAACGACATCCAGCGAACGAAACACTTCAGAGGCTGACTAGCCAACAGCTGCTTCCTGATCCAGAATTTTACACCCCCCCCCCAAGAATACATGACAGTACAAAAGGAAAAGTGATCATCGCATAAGCTCCCGCTTCCCCACGCCCTCGTGAGTCATCACCAGGCCCATAGCTATGGTGGGGCTTTGGGGGGCTTTGCCCCCTTTCTTAAAGGCACAGCCCCACAAGAATTTCTCCTCTAAATGCTTTTTTTCAATCATGTTTAAACATTTTTTAAAAGGCGTGCTCCCCTTTAAGCAGAGTGGGGTGCTGTCGTTGACTAATTCCCACACTGAGCAAGGGGGTTGGAGTAGGTGACCTCTAGGATCCCTTCTAACTCTGTGTCAAGAAACCAGTCTTCTTGAAGAGAGTTTCTCTGCCTAAGGGTTAGCTTTCTTGACTCTAGAAGTCATCCCCCTCCCCCACCTGCCGGCTTGTTCTCAGAATGGTTGCTTCGGCTGGCAGATGTGATTAACTTGCAGCAGCTGAGAACTGTCATCTAAAGTGGTTGACAGCTTGCAGTGTAGAGATCTATCCCGGTAACAGCTTCCTATTGGCTCAACGGCTTTTCTTTCTGCACTGAGAACTTCGGCCCAAACCAGAAAAAAATTTGCCCCACGAGCCACGAAGCCTTGGCTACGGGCCGGGTCATCATATTTGGAGGGAAAAATCAGCACCCGTATGGAAGAAAAGAAATCCATAAATACGCTCCCCCCCCCATCCCCAAGGTACCATATACAGTCATTAGATTCGGGGACAGGGTAAAACCCACCCAAAGAGGATGGCATTGAAAAGCATACTCAAGGGCAAGAGTGTTTTAAGAAACGCTCCGCTTAGGAGCCGACTCCCACCCAAGAGGCAACTGCACAGTAAGCGGCGCACAATTCACAGCCGGGTCAGCGTGTTCTCTTGTGCGTGCCGGCCCAGAGAATTCCGCAGGGCCTCGAGATCTTTGGAGGCTTTCTCTGGGTTCCGAGACACACAAGCAGGGCAATTCCCCTCCTTCTGTTCTAGGCTTGACGACTTGTTCCCAGCTTTCCGCATCGCTCACCGAACTTCCCGAGGTCACAGCGGGGCATCTCGACCCCCCCCCCCCGACTGACTGCCCCAGGCCTCCCGACTTTTAATTTTTAAAAATTTCTCGTTCAACTGTCATGGCTGGGGGTCGGGCGGAGAGCACTGCCACCGCCAAGCTCACAACCTCCCCGGCGCCGACAGCAGGTGGGCACGGCCCCCGGTCTTCTTGGCCCCACAGTAGGAAAGGCCAGCGAGGCTAAAATCCTAAAGAGGCCGCTAGAGAAGCAGGGTGGGGAGGCCACTTCCTTCCTGCCTGGAGCGTGAAGGGTGGGGATTCGGCCTTTCGTGTTCTCAGGAGTGTAAAGCGGCGGCAGCTCCCCCCAGGTGAGTCGAGGGGGATCCCGGGGCTGGTTGGCTCATGGGCAGGGCTCTTTTTGTATAAAAAGCCCAGCAGGAACTCATTAGCATAATAGGCCACACCCAACAGCAAGAACTCATTAGCGTATTGGGCCACACCCCTGACAGCACAGCTCATTAGCACATTAGGCTGCACCCTCATTTTACCAGAAGTGTGGTCACCCAGCCACACCCACCTTTCCCTTCTTATTCTGTTTGCTTTGTTTGTTGTCCAAACCCGGGGCCTTTTTTGTAGCAGGAACCCTTTGCATGTTAGGCCACACACCCCTAATGTAGCCAATCCTAATGAGTTCCTGCTGTTGGGTGTGGCCTGTTATGCTAATGAGTTCCTGCTGGGCGTGGCCAACTTGGGGGCCAGCCGGAACTCCGTTCCTGTGCGTTCCTGCCCAAAAATAGCCCTGCTCACGGGGGGGTGCGAGGGGGCGCCCCCTGACTTAAATGCCCCCCCGAAGGAAAAATCCTGGCTATGCCCCTGGGTGAACTGCAGATATTTGAAACATCTTGCGGAACGGCAAGGAGCACCCCTGTTCTTCACTAGGGATCGTCGGAGACAGTAGATGCCGGTTTAATTTCTGCTGCTCGCCCACCTCAAAACCCTCAAACTTCACTTCCCAGGGAACTGTCTTCCTCACTCCAGAGGAACAAGAAAAGCGGTGGAACAGTGGTCACCGGGGGGGGGGGGG